GGATACATTTGATCCTTTTCTTGTGCCTTTATCTAATATCGCATGTTCTCTCCATTGCGACCAATGCATATGAGAACTAAGAGTTCGAAATGGGCTTGCATCCTAACGCGGTCTTGCGTTCATTGCGGCGAACGAAACTCCTATGGCCTCCTCTTTTCTATCACAACTATTCGCTGAACTAGAACTATCTGGCTAGTTTTATACTTTCAGCGAGCTGCCGATATTCAACTTTTGGTTGAGAATCTACCGTATGCCGATTCATGAGTATCGAATCGCAATCGCAATCAGCCGACAATTTTTTTGTTGTGCGCTTATTTCGATTTGGTTTTAGCCGTTTAGCTAACCGTTCACCTAGCAGTATTTTCTCACTAACAATGCTTTGCCGTGCAGTTCAGCAGCATCCGCTTCAACCTTCCCTTGCTTTTCCCCTCGCCTCCATTTTTAACCTAACCCCAAAGATTGCTCAGCAGATGGTGTTCGCTTCGCTGAAATCTTTAAGTTACTGAAGATTCCATGTGATGTCTCGACAAACGCTTCCTCATCGTGCTAACTTGCTCAACCGACGCTTGCCGTGGTGTCTGCATTTTCTAGAATGTGCTCTTACGTTGAATGAGAGATGTGTCTCTCCAATGCTACGAGCAAATTTTTTTGGTTAATTTTTGTAATTTCTGGATCTGTTCCTCTAAATTGCCACGCCTAAGAAGGAGCCTGTGAATTAAGAGTGTCAAGTAACAAGTTGTTGTTTGTTTAATGCTCCATTCCACTCGTTTTTGAAACATGAATAAATATTTTATTCGTTAGAAGAACGATAAGATTTTTGTAAAATTTAAACTCGAATAGAATCGTTCAGTCGCTGTCAACGTATTGAAAATGATATGAGCGAATGGCATGTTATCAAACAAAATCAAAGAAGTATAGCAGCTTAGGGAATCTTAGACACAGAAGCATTAAACAAGTCTTAGAAAAAGTGAAACGTTTACTTTTGGCGAAAAGAATAACACGGGATATGGCTGAAGCTGACTAGTAATCAAACATCCTTTACATAGTTGGTGAAGATCGTAAAAAATGGTAGAAAATGACACGAGAGGAGATCGAATGCATTCTTATGGCTGTAGAATCGAGTCGAGTGTATTAAAAAAGCTTATCACTTTTCTTGCAACGCGATATGAGAAAATAGCGCGAGATTGGGAAGAGACTTAGGGTTTCGTTGCGAAAGTTTTAGACTTTAAGTTTCAACAATTGTTCAATTTCGATTG